AGCATAAAAGTTTAGAAAATTTGCAGCCTAATGATGCAACAGAAAAGAAAACCCCATTTTCTGGAGAGAAATTCAAGCCAGCTGCAGAAATTTGCATAAGTAATGAGGAGCCAAATGTTAATCACCAAGACAATGGGGAAAATGTCCCCAGGGCATGTCAGAGACCTTCACAGCAGCCATTCCCATCACAGGCCCAGAGGTCTGAGAGGGAAAAATGGTTTTGTGGGCAAGGTCCAGGGACCCCCTGCTCTGTACAGCCTTAGGACATGGTGATCTGCATCCCAGCTGCTTCAGCTCCAGCCATGGCTAAAAGGAGCCAAGGCACAGTTCAGGCTTCAGAGGGTGCAAGTCCCAAGCCTTGGCAGCTTCCATGTGGCATTGAGCCTGTGGGTACACAGAAGTCAAGAACTGAGGTCTGGGAACCTCCACCTAGATTTCAGAGGACCTATGGAAATGCTTGGATGTCCAGGCAGAAGTTTGCTGCCAGGGCGGAGCCCTCATGGAGCCTTTCCACTAGGGCAGTGTGGAAGGGAGACGTGGGGTTGAGCCCCCACAAGGAGTGCCCACTGGAGCACTGGCTAGTGGAACAGTGAGAAGAGGGCCACCATCCTTCAGACCCCAGAATGGTAGATCTACTGACAGCTTGCACCGTGCACCTGGAAAAGCCACAGACATTCAGTGCTAGCCCATGAAAGCAGCTGGAAGGGGGGATGTATCCTGCAAAGTCACAGGGGGAGAGCTTCCCAAGGCCATGGGAGTCCACCTCTTGCATCAGCATGACCTGGATATGAGACATGGAATCAAAGCAGATCATTTTGGAAATTTAAGGTTTGGTGACTGCCCTGTTGAATTTTGGACTTGTGTGGGACCTGTAGTTCTTTGTTTTGGCCAATTTCTCCCATTTGGAGCAGGGTTTGCCCAATGCCTGTACCCTCATTGTATCTGAGAGGAAACTAACTTACTTTTGATTTTGCAAGGTTCATAGGTGGAAGGGACTTGCCTTGTCTCAGATGAGACCTTGGACTTAGACTTTGGGTTAATGCTGGAATGAATTAAGACTTTGGAGGACTGTTGGAAAGGCATGATTGTGTTTTGAAATGTAAGGACATGAGATCTGGCAGGGGCAGGGGAGGAATGTTATGGTTTGGCTGTGTCCCCATGCAAATCTCATCTTGAATTGTAGTTTCCATAATCCCCATGTGTCATGGGAGGGACCCAGTGGGAGATAAATGAATCATGGGAGTGGTTACCTCCATGCTGTTCTCATGATAGTTAGTTCTCATGAGATCTCATGGTTTTATAAGGTGCTTTTCACCTTTTACTCAGCACTTCTCCTTCCTGCCACCATGTGGAGAAGGATGTATTTGCTTCCCCTTCCACCATGATTGTAAGTTTTCTGAGTCTTCCCCAGCCCTGCAGAACTGTGAGTCAATTAAACTTCTTTCCTTTATAAATTACTCAGTCTTTGGCAGTTCTTTATAGCAGTGTAAGAATTGAGTAATACATTGGCTATTCTGTTGTAATGTCCTATAACATTGTTCCTTTATACTACAATAAGAAGCCCCATTCATAAATAAGATCCCAGGCATCTTCATGCACTCAAGTTTTAGTGATGTAGTGCCTTTTGCCTCTCTAGTCCCCCTTCCTAACAGAATCCAGCATTTCCTTCTGGTTTTCATATCTCTTCCACATAGTCCACCCTGGCCAGACCATATATTCCCCTTTCTTGGCTACAGTTGTTGCTTTGGAGAGAGCATGCCAAGTGGCCCAAATCAGATCAATCAGAGTGCATTTGGGACTTCTGAATCCTAGAACAAAGATGCTGTGTCCTGGATGATGTACATATGGATGTGAAGCCTGGAACTGCTCTGGTCATTTTGCCACCATGAGGTTTAGGCTGTAGCTAACTCTGTGAAAGCACAGTGAAGACATGGAAAGAAACTGGATCCTTCCTTAATGGGACACTAAACTTTACAGTTTCACGAGCCAAAAAAACCCTTTTATTGTTGGAGCCAACTCGATTAGGACTTTCTGTTGCTTGCAATCAAGAGCATCCAAACAGCTTAAGCCTATGCCAGGCACTGTTCCAGAAAAGTCCTTATTCTCACGAAGCTAACCTCCTAACACAGGGCTTGAAAGAAGCAGACCAAAAATCAAGAAATAAATAAATAACTTTATCTATTGGTAAGTTCAATGAAGAAAACAAAATAAAATGATAGACACAGCTTGGGCAGAGTGATGGCTACTTTAGATTTGGGATTTAGAGAAGGCTTCCCTGAAGAGGTGATTTTTTCTTTTTTCTTTCTTTTTTTCTTTTTTTTTTTTTGAGGCAAGGCCTTGCTCCATCACCCAGGGTGGAGTGCAGTGGTGCAATTATGGCTCACCACAGCCTCCACTTCCTGGCTCAATTAATCCTCCTACCTCAGCTTCTGAGGGGCTGGGACCATAGGCATGGGCCACCATGCCTGGCTAACTTTTTTTTTTTTTTTTTTTTTTATCTTAACTTTTTTTTTTTTTTTTTTTTTTAGATAGGGCTTCTGTATGTTGCCTAGGCTGGTTTTGAATTCCTGGCCTCAAATGATCCTCCCTCTTTGGCCTTCCAAAGTGCTGGGAATATAGACATGAGCCACTGTGCCTAGCAGGAAGTAATATTTAATAAGAAACAAGACCTATCCATGGGCAGATGAGGGGGAAGAAGATTTTAGGCAAAGGGAACAGCCAGTGCAAAGGCCATGCAGTGGGAAATTGCCTGGTGGATTACAAGAACAGAAAGGAGCCACTACGGCTGAACAAAGGGTATGAAATAGCAAATAATGGTATGAAATAAAAGGTATGGAATAATGATGCTTGTTCCTCTTTCTTAATTACATTCCCCTCTTTCTAAACATCTTTTGAAGACTTTAAGGCCTAACTTATGCCCCAGCTCCTTCTTGAACTCTCCCTGACTGAGCTAAGGATCACTTTTCTTTTGTGCTAAAGAGTTCCTGGGCTCTCCCGTCCTTAGCACCTGGAAACTGGAAATTGGAAAGTAGCTCTCATGTACTATCTTCTACAGCTTTTGATGTTTTTCTTATGATTTTATTGACTCTCCTCAATTTGATTCTAGTCTTTGAGACAATTTTCTGGGGGTTTTTTTGTTTTGTTTTGTTTTTGGTGCGCCTATCACAAAAGCTTAATGCCAGTAAGCCTAACTGTTGTGAAAATACACCAAGCTTCTCGATTTACTGTCTCACTACCAGGGTGCATTTGAATATTGTCATGCATTGTGGGGTCAAAAATATCAAACATCAGCATTGTCATATGGCTCAACACACACTAAAACATCATTTTATATGACACTATAGTTCAACTGTGCAGCTAATTGTCCCAATGCATTGGTCATGGTTCCAGCAAAATTCTCTTTTTGGAACCTGGGTCCTCTAAGGAAATGCTCGGTTGTAATGAAGCTATGTATCTTTGGCCACCAGACTGTCCCTTAAATTAGTTGTGGGCAGCAAATAATCAAAACAGCAAGAATAAACAAGACTATGCAATTTAGCATTTGTTTTCATTTAGGCTTAGATGCTGCATTTGAATTTTATGATGTGATTAGTTTTTAGTGATATAATTTGAGGAAAGCAATGGGATGTTACTACATGTGTGACCTCAGTCAAGAAATTCCTGGCCACTCTTAATAGAAGCCATGACTGTACCTGGTTATCCATAAAGGAAGAATCCACCTGGTTCTTGCTGTAGGAACTTGGTGTTGGAATTGCTTTTCCATGCCTGACTGGAAGAAGACAAGCCAGTGCCCCCAGGAATCTGCAGGCTGCCGGGAGGTTGCCTTGGCCCCCACCCCACTTCCCACCACGTGATCTGCCAGGAGTGGTGAAAATTATAACCTTCCCTGGGCTAGAGGCCCTCCTTTCCCTCCAAAATGGTAACGTGGTCATATAATTTACATTTGTTTTATGAGTCTGTGTTCTCTATGTAAGATACATGTTTCAGAGTCAATCATTTATTTTTCATCCAGACTAAAACATTTATATAAGCCTTTGGACCTCAGTCTTCTCACTTGTAAACAGGACCTGGACTAAATATTTCTAAGGTCATTTTTGGTAACAGGCCATGTGGTAGACCAATGACATTTTCATTGGTAAGATGTTAATGCATCTATAACACACACACACACACACACACACACACACACAGAGAGAGAGAGAGAGAGAGACCTTTTTTCATAGAACTGATATTTATCATAATTTCCATGTAACATTTCCATGAAGTTTCTTTTAAAGAGTGGAAATAAATCTACTTATGGGCAATTCACATTTTGTGAACAACTTCATTACAGCTTAACCAAATTTCTTCAAACATGCCAAAGGCACTAAGAAGGACAACTTGAAAGTTCTAAAGGAAGCCGTTTGCATTTGGGGGAGAAAAAAAAAACAGTAAAAAAAAAATGTCTGAGTGATTTCTTAAGTGGTGAAATCCCCCTTTTTTGCCCTTTTTCTTATGTTTTAAAAATAGCCTAAATGAAACCTTACTCAACCTTCTACAAGAAAATATACCTTTAGGCTGAGAGACAGTATTAGAAATTTCATCCTAAAGAATTATTTTTGGGAAAGGGGTATGGGGTGGAGTTATAAGAGCCTGAAGATAGAGGCTTCTAATTAAATTGACCTCTCAACCAGAACTGCAGAGTCTACGCTATAATCACCACAATTCGGTTTAAATCTGGGACAGAATGATAATTTTGTTAGTTCAGAGGTTTTTAAACTATGGCTCATAACTGCTGGAGAGTTTCCGATTACTCTTCTAGGTTCTGCAAGGCATGTGTATTTGCTGGGGGACCAGGGGACTTTTAGTAAATGAATAAATAGGAGAGATTTTCACAGTCTCAGGAAGTTTAAGTGGGTCTCAAGATGGTCAGGAAGTGCTGGAGTTGTCTTTCTGGCTTTGCAGATGGCAACAAATCTACAACAAATTATGAGGGAGGAAGTGTGGAAGGGTTTTCTTACTTATGGCGATGGATTTGCCTTTATTCATCTGTACCCTCCATCCCAGTTGGTGTGCAGTGCAGGCTTGAGGAGGAAAAGCTGGTGATGGGAGCTGTAAAAGGAGAAAAGGGTAAAATTGGGCCAGTTCATGACCTTGGCCTCTGCCCTGCAAGTTAACCAACTGAGCTAACCAGCCATAAGCGAAACAGATCATTCACTCCTTAATTTGTTCAATAATATTGATTGAATGCAATAAGTAAGTAAGGTGCCAGGTGCAGGAGATACCAAGGCAGAAGAGGTAGGCAGAGTCAAAAGTTTACATTCTTGAGGGAGCAGACATTCATGGATAAACATGCAGGTAAATGTTAATTACAATTGTAATAAGAGCTGTGATAGAAATGTCGAGGTTTACCGAGAGCACAGAGCACAGCAGCTAAGCCTAGATTGATCCTTTTTTTGTTTTTTTTTGAGACAGAATCTTGCTCTGTCACACAGGCTGGAGTGCAGTGGTGTGCTCTCAGCTCACTGCAACCTCCACCTCCTGGGTTCAAGCGATTCTCCCACCTCAGCCTCCCGAGTAGCTGGGATTACAGGCGTCTGCCACCATGCCCAGCTACTTTTGTATTTTTAGTAGAGATGGGGTTTCACCATGTTGGCCAGGATGGTTACTAACTCCTGGAGCTTGGCCCTTTCAAGGAACAAAAAAGGAGGCTCATCTGTCCAGAGCAGTGGTTCCTAAGGTGTAGCCCACAGAACCCTGGGGTCCCTTGAGACCCACATGAGAGATCAGCAAGGTCAAAACTGTGTTCATAATAACACTAATGCGTTGTTTGCTTTTTCACTGTGATGACATTTATCTGAATGGAGCAAAAGCAATGACGAGTAAAACTGCGGTGTCTTCCTGATAATACAGGCAACAGCAACCACACTACATGAGTGATCACTGTATTTTTCACTGTTGCACACCCCCAGTTTTTTTTAAAAAATCCAGTTTCACTTAAAAGTGCTCTTGATAAAGCAGTAAAAATTGTTAATTTTATTAAGTCTTGACCCTTGAGTATATGTCGTTTTTTGTTTTTTAAGAGAGAAGGTCTCACTGTCATCCAGGCTGGAGTACATTGGCACAATCATGGCTTACTGCAGCCTCAAACTCCTGGGCTCAAAAGATCCTACCACAGGCTTCTGAATAGATGGGACCTATGGGCATGCCACCATGCCCAGATAATTTTTAAAAATATTTTGTAGAAACAGGGTCTTGCTATGTTGCCCAGGCTGGTCTCAAATTCCTGGACTCTTAGGTATTTGAGAGGCCAAGGCGATCCTCCCACCATGGTCTCCCAAAATGTTGGGATTGTAGGCATGAGCCACTGTGCCCAGCCCACATGTCTGCTTAGTGTTCTGTGTTGCTGACTGGAAAGTATGCATAAAGCATTTTTGCTGCATACTGTGCTATGAAGATGATCTCAAGGAAAAGTACTCGTGTGGTTGAGTTGTGAGCTGCACTAGCCACTTTGTCATGGAACGCCATTTTTATCTGAAAGAGCAAGTGGCAGACGAACTATAATTATTGAGACTTGGGTAATTGGCAGATGTTTCCTTGAATGGAGGATACTTATCACCTCAAGGAAAACAACTGGTAGTCTTTGCTGCTTTGAGACCTTCACTTGAAGCTCTTAAGTGAAAGTTTTAGAATTCTGGAAAACTTCTTTCTGCAACTGCGACCTTGATATCCTCCCAACACTTATATATGCTTTTCGGATAAGATTGGTGGTGATACTATTCTAGTTACCTGTCAGACAATATAATCTCTAATTTTGCCACTGAAACTTACCAAAATCTCCTTTGTGAAAAACTGTATTTCATTTATAAATAAAGATACTGGAATTCTAAATAGAACCAAATCAAGCACCTTATCAATAAACCAGGTAGGGCTTATTCCAGGAATGCAAAAGTATTTTCATAGCTGGAAATGAACATATCATTACATTCATGTATCACTTAACCATGGAGATATGTTCTGAGAAGTGCATTATTAGGCAAATTTTGTCCTTGTTCAAACATCACTGGATATATTTAGACAGATCTCCCTTTTGTAGCCAGCTATACACTTAGGCTATATGGTATAGCCTATTGCCCCTAGGCCACAAGGTATAGCCTATTGCCCCTAGGCCACAAACCTGTACAGCATGTTACTGCACTGAATACTGTAGGCAGTAGTAACACAATAGTAAGTATGTATCTAAACATAGAAAAGGTACAGTAAAAATAAGGTATTATAATCTAATGGGACCACTACTGTATATGTGGTCTGTCATTGACTGAAGCATCATTATACAATGCATGATTGGCTGTACTTCAACAATGAAAGAAAATTAATATAAACTTATCAATAAAAGCTTATGAGGAATTAGAAGTCAACATAGCAGCTATTCCCACTAAAATTCTAATGAAAATATGACTATAAGGAAATCACTTAAATAGAATAAAAATATTTCCAAAAAACCCTCCATTAAATGCACTACAACTTTAAAACCATTCCATTTAAAATCAACATATAGGCTGGGAGCAATGGCTCACACCTGTAATCCCTGCACTTTGGGAGGCCAAGGTGGGCAGATCACTTGAGGTCAGGAGTTCGAGACCAGCCTAGCCAACATGGTGAAAGCCCCTTTCTACTAAAAATACAAAAAATTAGCTGGGCATGGTGGCAGGTGCCTGTAATCCCAGCTACTTGGGAGGATGAGGCAGGAGAATTGCTTGAACCTAGGAGGCAGAGGTTGCAGCAAGCCAAAGTCGTACCACTGCACTCCAGCCTGGGTGAGAGTGAGACTCCGTCTTAAAAAAAAAAAATTAAAATTAAAAAATAAAATAAATCAACATATAGACAGGAAAGTTTGCTCTAACCATTACAATTTGACTTTGTCATGGAAGATTTAGTGAATGCAATAAAAGGGTAGTAAATAACTGAAATAAACAATTGGAAAGAAGAAATAAATATTTTTGCTGATATGAAAATGTAAGAGATACTGAGTTTCTAAAAAAATTAAAATTAGTAAGAGAATACAAGAGTATGAGGATACAGGATAATGACACATATATTAGCTTTTATCTATTCTAATAAGCATATAGAAATAGAGAAGAGAAAAGTATCCTCTTCAAAAAATAGTGAACAAAAATAGCTAGGGATATAATTAATAATATAGCTACATCTATATGAATAAAATTCAATCTTAGTAAAGGTCTCAAAACAACGTCTGAACAAATGAAAAGATATACCAAGTTCTTGGATATGAAAATGGAATATGGCATAAAATTATCAATTATTCCAAAGAAATATAGAAATTTTATGTAATTACAATTAGAATTGCAACAGTCTTGAGAGGGGGTGAGGAGGAGAAGAGACTGGATAAAGTGATTTAAAATTTCATAAGGAATACATTTATTCACTTGAGAATAAATGCTCAGGAATGGCAGGAACATAATAAAAAAGAACAGTGCAAGAGGAATTGCCTTACCAGACATCAGAGGATATTATAAAGCTGTTATGAAGTAAATATTGTATTGGTATGAGAATGAGAAATAGATCACTGAAAGAGAAAAGAGGATCTGGAAGTCTTGGATATGAGAATGTAATATACATCATATATCAAATGTGGGAGTTCAATGTAGTGGGAAAATAATAAATTATTTCAAAAGCAATACTGGCTATTCACCTGAAATAAAGTAAAATTAAATCCCTGTTTTATACCATAAACAAAAATACATTCTCCAGAGAGTAAAGTCTTAACTGTAGACAACAAAACAAGACAAATTATTGTGGAGGCTTCATGTATAATCCAAGGACAAGGAAACCTTAACAAGACTGGAAAACACAAGAGGCCATAAAAGAAAGATACAGTTCACCATATGGTAAATGTGGTATGATCCCATAATATACACAGTTATTATTTGTCAATTAAAATAAAATAAAATAACTACCCCCCAAACGTGTAGAGTATTAAATATTCTAAGCAAATTCAAAATGTAAATGATAGATTTGGAAAAAATACTTGTAACCGAAACTGCAAAGAATGTACTTCTATCATATAGAAAGAGATCTTATAATTTGTCAACTCAATAGAAAAACGATGAAGGAATAAGAAAAGCAATTTATAGAAGCACAAAAGCAGAGTCAACAAATGTACAAAAAGATGCTTGAATTTACCATCGTTAGGGAAATGCAAATTAAAGTACTAATGAGACATCAGATCATGCCTATCAGGCCTGCCAAAATTAAAGACAACTACAACATATATTACAAAGTTGAAATGTAAATTGTACAGCGTTTTGGGGAAGTAACATGGCAGTATCTATTAAAATTTGAAATATACATACTCAGAAGAATAAGCAAACTGTGGTATATGCATACAACAGACCACTCAGCAATCAAAAGGAAAGAACTATGCTACACTCAACAGCATGCTTCAATCTCAAAAACATACTGACAAAATAATCCAGATACAAAAGATTCCAGACTGTATGATTCCATTTATATCAAATTCTGGAACAGGGAAAACAATCTATAGTATTAGAATATATGTATCAGTATGTTTAAATATGGCATTATCCAGGGTGGCAAAAAAGTTGGAAAAAATGAATCCTCATTAGTACAAAATGGGAAAATGAACCACGGTAGTGCACCTTTAGACCAGCATACTGCCAAGGAAAAAGCAAAGAATAGAGCTACACCGGTTGGCTTGGAGGGATTTCTATACGATATGATTTATAAGTGAGTACAGAAAAGCATTTATGATATAATCCATTTTGTGAAACAACGATCCCAACCTCCGTATCAAAATGTGTACACATGTATATGCATGTGTGTTTTGTGGTCTGTACCTCATTATAGAAATATAAAGGAAAATATGGAAAATACGTACCAGGCATGTTAGCATGAGTTACACGGGGAGGGGAGGGAAGGAAAATAGGAGGAAAGGGGCATTGAGCTAAAAGACCGAGCTAAAAACAACAGTATGTCTGATATGATTACATGTGCACATTTATATAATTAAAATTTATATTTATAGAGGATTACTCAAGTAAATGCTGTCAATCTTGTAGATATTTTAAATT